TGTGTGTGTGTGTGTGTGTGTGTGTGTGTGTGTGTGTGTGTAGAAGCCTATTCCGATCAAAAATCAATTCTTCCTATTCCATTGAAACTAGACCTGCCTGGATAACCAGAGGCCCCCACATTGTCAAATCAGATGGTCACATCCGCACCCTCTTCTTATCCTACCTTTCAGCAGCATTTGCTACAATTCATCAACATCATCTCTTGAAACATTGTCTGCCTCTGGCATCCCTGTTACCCACTCTACGTGTCTTCCTCCTAATTCCTTGGCTTTGAGTTCCCTTTGCTGGATCTCTTCTCGTCTCAGTGTTGCATGTTCTTGAGTTTGGTCGTAAGACCGCTTTCTTGTTCTATGTATCTCGCTAGGCTTCCTTTTCCAGGACTCTCTCCATGGCTCATGCCACTATTCTTTGGAAGTAAGGGAAGTCTATCTGCTAACGACTCCCAGATTAATGTACCCAATGCTGATTTCTCCCCTGAGGCCTAGACTCAAATGACCTCTCTCCTTGATTGTCTTTGAAGAGGCATTCTGATGTCTCTTAATATATCTACTGCTATAACAAAAATACCACAAGCGAATGGATATTTATTTTCTCACAGTATAGAAGGCTGGACGTCAAGATTCCAGGTGCCAGCTCTCGGGGAAGACTTCTTCTCTTTGGTGGCTCTCGAGGGAGGCCCTTGTCTCTTTTGAGCTTCTGCTCCTGCACCATCTTCATGTGACATGGCAGCTCTCTGCCCCCATCTCTGATTTTCAAATCCTTGGTTAATCTTTGGTCAAGAGATTGACAAAAGACACACCCTACACTGACTCCCATTTCATTAACACAACGAAGACAACCCATTTCCAAAAGGGATTCTAGCCTTAGAGGTTTGGAGGTCCAACGCATACTTAGGGGGTGGGCGGGTGGGGGGGAGCATCACTCAGCCCCAAACGATATTGAGTCTTGACCTCGCCCTTCAAACATTCTCCTTTCCTGGCCGTGCGTACATAATTAAGAGGCATTCACTTGGTCCTCAAGGAGTCACCCTTGATTTCTCTCCCCCCCGCCCCCGCGCCCACTCCTCACTGCCCCATCATGTAGGCCATCATCAAATCTTGTTGAGTCTCCCTATATTAACATCCAAATCCATCTGCTCCTTTATCTCCACCCCCACCACTCTGTTTCAGGAAACCGTTCCCTCGGTATGGCACTGCTACAGTAGCCTTCTCGTTGGGCTCTGCTTCTCCGGCCTCCATGTCAACCATTCATGCTTCAGCCAGCAGCCAAAATACTACTTTTTAACATGTAAAAGGGAGCAAGTCTTTCCCCTGCTGAAAGCCTTCCGACGGTTCTACATTGCACTGATCACAACATCCCGGCTCCTTCCTCAGAGCAGCCCTACCAAGCCTTCTCTGGCCCGCTTCTCCACCTGCCAGGTCCACCTTCTCGCCTGCTCCTTCCATTGGCCTTCTTCTGTCCCTCCTCTTGTAGCTGTCCTCTGTCTGAAGGCCTCTGTCCCAGCAGAGTCCTCTTCCGGAATGCGTCCTCCCCTCTAGCGCCACCCTGTTTGTTCTGAAATCATAACACTGATTACAACTCGATAGCCCCTCTTTGTGGTTCATCGTCTGCGATCCTCGCGTAGACGGAGAGCACCCTGGCAGTACAGGTCTTACGCACGTGCTCTTTGTTGAATCCCCCGCACCTCGAAGCTCTGGCCCATGCTAGGTCTTCACTAAGTGCTTGCTGAAGGGACGAATGAATCTTCGAGTAGTCCCTGAGGTTGGCGCAGTTCACACCGAGCATGTCTGATAAACACATTCTGCCACTAGACTGTAAAGCTATAGAGAGTGCAGGCCTTCTTTTCAGTGTCCGTGTCGCCTCCCCAGCACTTGTGATAGACGTACTTCTAGGTTCTAAGCACCTGAGTGATGATGAGTCTGTCTGTCTAGCTACTTAACAAATTTTATTTCCCCAGGAGTTAACATGTAACATGAGGTAAGGGAATGGGGCTGGAAGGGATTGGGGATGCTCGGTAAGTCTTGGGTTGAGTGGGGTTTTAAAAAGGGGGTCTGAAGTCAGGAAATCAAACAGATGCACGCACCCCAATATTCATTGTAGCACAGGGCACACTAGCCAGAAGGTGGAAACAACCTAAGTGTTGATCAACAGATAAATGGATGAAAAAATATGGTGTATACACAATGGAGAACTACTCACAATGGAATCCGTATATATGTGTACACACACACACACACACACACACACACACACACACACGAACACTACTCACTCAGAGAGAGAAATGAAGCCCTGAAATACATGCCACCCATAGATGAACCATCACAACGAATAAAAGGAGGCAGTCAATAAGAGGACAAATCTTTGTGTGGTTCCACTTTTCATCTAAAATAAGTAAATTGCACAGGCCTTAGGTTACCCATAGTTAGCAGGGGCAGACAGGGAAGGAGGGAGGCCGGGGAAGAGAGGCGTTCACTGCCTAGGAGACAGTGAATGAGCTTCTCTGACAGGTGGTGATTGTGCAGCGAGGTGAGTGCCGTGGGATGACACTCAATGGCCCAGGCACAGGGGACTGAGGCGGCCTATTGGCCTCAGCTTTCGTTTTATTTTTTAAGGGATTAAAAGATCATTTTATTGGGGGCTCTTACAACTCTTGTTACAATCAATACATCAATTGTATCAGACATATTTGTACATTCGTACATATATTCCATCGTTCTTTTCTAGACATTTACTTTCTATTGAGCCCTTGGGATCAGCTCCTCTTTTCTTCCCTCCCCCTCCCTTCATGGTCCCTTGATAGATAATAGATTATTATTTTCATATCTTACACCGACGACTGCTGCCTCCCTTCCCCTCTGGTTTCTGTTCTCCCCCCTGAAGGGGTGTGTGTGGCTATGTGCCGTTCATTGCAATCAGGTTCGCCTTCCTCCCCACCTCTACCCGCCCTTCCCCCTACCCTTTTGGTATTACTGTTCTCATTTTTGTTCCTGGGTTCCGTGTGTCATGAGCTTTATCTCTTGTGTATACCTATGTACATGTTCTGGTCCAGTCCAGAGTGGGAAGCCGCACTGGGGTCATGGTAGTGGGGGGTGAGGAGGCCTCAAGGAACCAGAGGTATATTGTGTGATCCATCGGTGCGCTACTATATTTATAACACAGTGGACGTGTCCTGGGCCACAGCTCATACCCTCCCTCAATACAGGAATACTTTGTTCTAACAAACTGGCATTCTGTGATGCTCACCCCCCACCCCTAACACGATCACTGAAGACAAAATGTGTGCATAAGCAAATGTGGTGAAGAAAGCTGACGGTGCCCAGCTATTAAAAGATATAGCATCTGGGGTCTTAAAGTCTTGAAGTTAAACAAGTGACCATCCAACAGTGAAGCAACAAGCCCACATGGGAGAAGCACACCGACCTGTGTGATTGTGAGGTGTCATTGGGACCAGGCAGCGGGCATCAGAAGATAAATAACAAACAAACAAACAAAAGCAGGTTGTTGAGAATGAGGGGGTTGGAGCAGAGACCCAAAACCCATCTCTAGACAATGGAAAATCCCCCTACAGAGGGGACACAGGGAAGGGATGAGTCAATCAGGGTGGTCTCAGCTTTTAAAAGGACCAGAGGGGTGGGGGGTAGAGACTCTTCACCTTGTTTTTATCATTCTATCAGAATTCTTGCCAGTTGCTACATTCTTTTCTGGTGAATTCATTCCAGGATGCAACCTACACCCTGATCATGGTGGACCCCGACGCTCCCAGCAGGTCTTCTCCCACAGCTCGCTTCTGGAGACATTGGCTGGTAACAGATATCACCGTAAGTCGGCCGCCAGGCCCTTTCTGACTCATCTGGGATTATAATTGGATGACTACCAGGCTCACTCTCCGGTTCTCAAACCACCTGGGTCTGCCCTGGGTCAGATTGTCCCTCCCAAGTTTTCTAACTTCAGAAAAAATGCCCCAGCGCTCAGGGTAGGTCAGTGAACCAGCTCTCAGGGGAAAAGGCCCTCGTTTGCAGAGTGTTGCTGATTTCTATGGTGTAAATTCCCTCATCACCCTGGCCAACTTCAAGCTACTTACAATTTAATGGCGAGTCTCCAAGTTCCTAAAACCATTCAGCCATTGGCTCCAACATCCCACAGCCAGGGAGCCTGAATTTGGAGCTCTGCGTCGTCCACAAGTGGCAGATCTGATAGGGGAGTCCTGCAGGAGCACCCCGTCCTGACAGGCAGGGGACAGGGTGGAGGCGCGACGATATTTTTCATGCGCAGGCACGTGACCACCCCTCCCCTCTGTCCCTTTGTCCTCACTGCAGTTGAGAAGGAGCCTGGCTCACCCTTTGCAGCGTAGGTCTGACAACGGATGTGGAGACTCGCTAGTGGGTCATCCTGCTTGGTGACGTGGAGGGTCCGTGAAAAAGAGGAATGCTCTCAGTGAGGCAGCTTGGCCCAGTGGCTGCAGCGATGGGCCCAAGCACAGCACTGATGGGAGGATGGCGCCAGTCTGGGCCGTTCTGTTATACAGGGTCTGCCACGAGTCCTGAATGGCTCAGTGACACCCAGCAAAAACACCTTCCTAGGGTCGCAGGGCTGCTAGAGAACGCCCACAGGTGGGTGTCTTTAAGGAACAGAAAAGTCCTCACGGTCAGGAAGCTCCCCGTCTGAATTCGGGGCGCTCGTTCAGGGGCAGGCTTTTCTGACGCCGGTTCTGGCTGCGGGGAAGGAAGACTCGTGTCTCTGGCCAGCTTCTGTTCCTCAGTCCTTGTGGTCTCCACACGGCATCAACCTTTCTCCCAGTGTGTCCTTGCTTGTTTCTGGGTCTAAACGTCTCCTTTTATATCTCAAGAGGGAGGTGTAAGACATTCCCTCGGTCCTGGGAATGGTGGCCCCAGGCTGCCATGTGTTCACTCTTTTAATGCTCTTCTTGCTTTCGTATGACACACGTCGTCTGGCAAGTGTGGCCTTTGTGAATGAGTGGTATGGAAAGTTCCGACCTATCGTCAACCCCGATTGTTTGTGTAGATAGTGCCCAGTCACGTAAGCAGTTTAATCTGTACAACCAGCGATCCGTGAATTGCAGTCTGAAAAGCCAGCCTACACATGTATAACTTTGTTTTCTCAACAGTGGTGTTTTAAATCTATGCCATTGGCTAAATTAATGACCCTATCAATAGAATTACCATATGCCCCAGGGCGGTGATTTATCATGTTCTTCATCATAAAATAATAATGACGTGTCTAAAGTGAACCAGGGACATGTATAAACCAAAGATATGTGAATGGATTGGGGACTCACACTTAATCATAGCCCTAATTAGTTCTTGTGACATGGCCCTACTCGATACTCACCCTCATGAAGAGTTATTGAAAATATGGGTGCTACAGCAAGTGTGGTGAAGAAACCAGTTGGTGCCTGGCAATCAGAAGGAAGTGTCTGGGGCCTTAAAGGTTTGTATTCAATCATTTGATCCCCTCTTTGAACCATTTTAAAGTTGTTTCAGTTTTAATGTTTTCTGCTTTCTTTTTGATGGAGGTTTTTCTATGTTTTGCCTCAGCCTTATTGTTGGTTCTCATTCGTTTGTTTGCTTGCTTGCTTGTTCCCGGTTGGTGTTTTGTATGATTTTCTGTATATGAAGTCCAGGAGAGGTAGAGATATCGACAGTTAATTGGCTTGATAATTGCCTAGGGGTATTGAAGAGGAGGATGGGGGGAAATGAGGGACTAACAAGGACGAGTAAAAGAAGAAAGTGTTCTGAAACTGGTTGTGGTGATGATGGTGCAAATTTTCTGAATAAGATTGAATAGTTTAATTGTATGATACGTGAAGTATATGTCGATAAACCTATTTAAAAAAGTAAAAATAAAGGAGCGGCCTAAGTGAGGTGTCAGTGAGGTCCACATAGAAGAAGCACAGCAGCTTATGTGATCCAAGGATTATAAAGAATAAAATCCAGACCAGAGGAGGGCATGGTATTAGAGCATAAATTCTGAACACCCGGTTTGTAGAAGTCTCTGGATGACAGGTGACACCTAAAATCCATTTACAGGGTCCCCACATAGATTAAGCCTCCCATGAACCCCTCTGGGGTTGTGGGTAACTTTGCTGTCAGACAGAGAACATGGTGAAGTCAATTAGGCAGATGCCACACTGCCACTAAGTTGATTCCGGCTTGTAGTGACCCCACAGGACAGGGTAGAACGGTCCCTGAGGTTTCTGAGATATCTTGCTACAGGAGTAGAAAGCCTCGCCTTTCTGTCTCAAATCAGATTCAAACTGCTGACCTTGGAGATGCCATTAAGTTGAAATCTAGTGAAAGACTTGTCGCAATTGTTAATATCCTACTATGGGCTACTTAAAAAACACTGCGGTCAAGTCTATTCCAGCTCCTGTTGACCCTGGGTGGCAAGAGTAGAGCCAGCCACAGGCTTTCTGAGACTATAAATCTTTATGGAAGCAGACCGCCGCACCTTTCTCCCATGGAGCAGCCGGTGGGTTTGAACTAGCAACCTTCTGGTTAGCAGCTGTGTGCCTTAACCGCTGTGCCTCCAGGGCTTCTTAACATGAACTGTGCAAAGAGAACGTAAAAAATAATGTGATTTTTTTCTCTCTCTCTCTTGGCCACGGCACCTCTTCCTTTTAAACACCTGGCAGTGTGCTTTGGAACCTAGAAAACATGCAGATGGCTTTTGCAAGGCGTACATAGAATCATCATCAGCAGCATACGACAGTGGGGACCCAGACCTAGAGAAGCTGAGTGAGAACCCTGGCTGGACGGTCCCCAACTCCCACAGCCCCTTCAAGTCACGCAGACCCTCTGTGGGCCCTTGTCTCTTTATCTGAAAAAAAATGGGACTAACGTTGCCCATTTTATGGGTTTGCTGTGAGGACTAAATGAGATATCCTACAGAGAGTATCTTTGTATGGAGAATTTTATGGAGAATACCAAAAACTGTCAAGGATCTGTATTCTCTCCAGAATTACAGGATGGAGGCAAAGCTGTCTGTCTGAACTAGCGAGTGACTGCTGACTCAGACACTGGAGTGTGGGTGGGTGGGCAGTGAAGACTACTCCCCCTGCAGCTAAGCCCCGCCCCACTGACCATGGTCCCTCCCAGGACCCTCGGGTGGAGCGCTTCTCCTTAGAGGCAGTCCTGGCACAGGCCCTGGACGCGACGCCCTCAAACTCCTTCCACAGCGCCAGAAAGGGGGCCATCCCCAATCCAGAGCACCACCATTAACTAGACATTGTCTAGTGCCACTGTTGCAGGGAGATCATGAGTGGGTTCCATTGACAAACAGAAATGCACTTTTGCACAGTTTAGGCAGCCAGGGGTTCAAATTCAGGGCACCAGCTCTAAGTGGATTTTTCTCTGTCTCTTTGTCTCTCTGTCTCTCTGTCTCTCTCTCTGCAATGGAGGAAAACCCTCAGCGGTACCTCTCTCAACTCACTGCCATCGAGTCGGTGCTGACTCACAGAGACCCCTCTGTGGGTTTCCGAGACGGTAACTGTGCATGGGAGCAGAAAGGCCCATCTTTCTCCCGAGGAGCTGCTGACGGTTTTGAATTACTGACCATGTAGATCGCAGCCCAACGTGTCACCACTGCACCCCCGGGGCTCCCAGGTGGGACCTCTGGCCCCTGCGTTGGTTGGTTCCATGTGATTTCCATGTCCCATCTAGCTTTGCTTCTCTGGGCCCCAGTGGTGTTGGGGTGAGGGGAGGCATCAGACTTGGATGCTCTTTTTACATCTCGGGAGTGGTTTCCTTTAAGACTAGGACACACTCTGTGCTCATGAACATAGGACACACACACACACACACACACACACACACACACACACACACCTACTCCCAAATGGGCTTATAGCCACAGGTGTCGAGGTTAGGACTTCAGTGCATGTTTTTCCCTCCCTGGGCGGAGGGGTGGTAGTGACACAAGTTAATCCCTCACTGTTTCGGAGCACACAACTCCCCAGGAAGAGCGACTGCTCTGAACCTTGCCTGTGCCATCCACCCCACACTCACAGGCTTCCTTCCGCTCGAGGGTTCTACCAGGCACCGTGAGACTGCAGTTCAAAAGCAGTCAGGGTTGGCGTCAGTCCAGAGTCTCAGGGGGTCTTAGGGCCAATTAACCTACCTCTCTTCCAAGTCTGAAGCCTCCCTCTCCCTCCCCTCACCCCAACACCACTCGGGACTGTTCTCTCACACAGGCTTAGAAGCAGAACAGGTGGCAGGTGGCAGGTGGCAGCTGTCCAGCAAGACTGCTAAGCAGTAGAGCTTATCAGGGACACCTGCCCGGGTGTGGCCCTCAGCCTGTCCCCTTCAGGCCGGAGGGGGCTTGGGTTTCAGTCACATTCTCACCCACTTTCCCCTAATCGGAGAGGCCAGCAGGAAGTGGCAGCTCTCAGCTATATCCACTTGGCCCTGTCCAGCAGCCCCGCAAAGTCTGCCAGCCGTAAAGTCACAAAGACGGCATAAATCATCAAGCCCTGGTGGGGCTCAGGATCTTGACCTCAGCCAAAGGAAGAGAGGGCTTCAGTCACACCCAGAAGCACGTCCTTTGTGTTGGTTAGCTGCTGCTAAGCAGCTCAACCAAAGAGCGGTGGACGTGAGTGCCTCCCCACAGGCCTGCAGAGCCTGTCCACCCATCCAACTGGATACACCAAGGCCCGGGTCCTCAACCTTCCTAATGCCGCCACCTTCCATGCAGTTCGTCAAGTTGTCGTGACCCCCCACCCATAAAATTATTCTCGTTGCTACTTCAGAAGTGTCATTTTGCTTCTGTTAGGAATCAGGCAACCCCTGTGAAAGGGCACCAC